GCGCAAAATTCCAGTTTGCGAGCGCAAATTACTGCACGCAAAATTGGATCTTGATAAATCCGGCCCTATGACTTCAGTTTTGTTTTGATTCAGCTGAGGAAACCATTGACACATCCATGCATTGATCTCTTCTATGCATTTACAGCACTTACATGAGATTATCGTCACCTTATGCCATTGTAATGTAAATAATGGTAAATTATGTTGGTGGTAGCATGTAGATATTGAATATTATGGGCCCTAACATAGAACCTTTTGGAACACCACTAGTGGAAGGCCCCGTCCTTCAGGTAGGATTTAAATCAGTCGAGTGCGGTACCAGAAAAGCTGACCCAGTTTTTGAGGCACTCTAATAAAATAGAAGCACTGATCCTTAAATACATAAATACTCCCTATTAGAGAAGGTTAAGGTAAACTTGTTCCATAGGTGGCTCTGTCTGGGAGAAAAACAGTTAAGCTGATGAGCTCTAAGTTGTATTAAAGGTTGACAGAGAGCAAATAAAGCTAGTTAAATGTATCATCTATAACATCTAAATGATGTTGTAGATGCCTCCCTTCAGGATTGGGTTAAAGCAAAACAAAGGGCCTGGACAGATATGGCTGCTATTAATAAGAAGACTGAACATACAGTTTAAAGTTTAACTAGCAAATAATGCAAAATTTGAGAATAGAAGTAGAAATATAAGGTATATATTCTAAAATCCTCATATCTTCAGTGGGTAAGAAAATCCTCCGTCTGTCTGTTTCATCTGCACTGTTTTGTAATGGTGTGATTTAGTCAAGTTAGGTAATCATTGTTAAATATATAGAGTTTAAGTGTCCTCTTTCATTTAGTGCAATTGTTTAGTAAATGACAGTTCAGAGTTTCGTCCCTCCCTCTGCAAGTGTAACCCCATCAAGATGCTTCACCTAAGGTGAGGAGTTTCCACGTCTCACAAACATGTACTTGAGAATAATTATTCCATCTTTATTTCTGCAAACTTCAGGGGACCTCCACCCAATGAAGACCTCATTATCCACTATAATTATAGTAATCCTGCTTACATGATTTGTGAGCATCAGTCTAAATTGGTTAGCCCAAAGCTGAAGCTGTTTTATAAGCTCAGGTGGTGAGATATTTGACGGGAACTGTGTCATGGTGGTGTCTTGTCTGCACTAGTTTGAATTGTGGTCTGCCACTGAGCGGTTGTAAAGCTGAGTCTGTCATTAGACAGGAAATTTAATGCAACAACTAGTTTTTGTTAATGGAAGTGAGAGAAAAAAAGGTTTTTGACTCATGATATTATTGTTGTATAGTTAATCCAGTCAGCCAAACAATTTCTTTCTGTTTTTGCTGCAGACCTCAAGCAAAGGGAGACACTCAGTTCGGATTTCAGGTCTTAGCACCATTGATTTCCGTGCTGGGTTTTCCAGAAAATCCACCATGGATTTTAAAATGACATCCAGTAGGCCAGTTCAAGGTGAGCATAGACAACCTTTCCAAGCTGTATCCCTACCAAAGAATCTTTATTTGTCCTCATGTTATTCATTGAAATACTTTGGGCTTCACCCATGATCTCCACTTTCTAGGTATTCCTACTCACATCCTTCTGAACACCACTGGACTTTCCCCTCCTGCTCGGCCTGACAGACTAGAGCTTCTTACCATTACTGGAGAGGTTATCAAAACTCTGCCAATCAGGTATTACCCAGAACAACGGCCGTACAACCTCTGGAATATCACAGAGTTCATTCCACCCAATGAGGCTTTCTTCCTGAGGGTTACAGGATTTGATAGCCAGGGTTTTGTGTTCCAGAGAGTATCCAGTGTCTCCTTCTCCAGCATTGTGCCTGGTCGGTGATGTACATTGTCACCCAAATTAAAAAACCAATTCCCATCACGAATTTGTTACATGTTATTATCTTTGTCTTTATGTTCACTTCCTTTTAGATGCACCTAAAGTGGTAATGCCAGCCATCACTAATGGTTATTACCTGCAGAGAGGATTTATCAGATGCCAGGTAGAGAGTTTGCTACCCTTTACTCTGCGCTTCAGCCGAGATGGAAAGCGACTTGGACTGGACCAACTCTTCAGGTGACATATATAGAGTCATATACAATAAATTACCATAAAGACTCCATTGGGAATTTTTTGTTAGATTTGAATGTACCTTTTGGAAAAAAAAACTTTAAAAACTATTTTTTGTTTCATTCGATAAAAAAATAAATAAATAAAATACTCCTATTGGTTTTAAGTTGAAGATCATCATAATTAATAGTTAAAGGCTTAAAAACATCAGTTTATATTAATGATGTATATAACATGTAAAACAGTAATATGACTAAATCATCCCATAGTTTTAACACCACAGATGATCATAATCAATTCAAAGAAAATGTTTTAGATAACTTTCACAAACTAAATCTGCTTAATTTAGTTTATCAATTTGATGTCTGTACCAATCTTTCTGAATCTTCTAATTCCAGTGAATCAGGTAGCGGGTCATGGGAAATAGAAAAGGTCACTTTGAAAGATGAGGGCCACTATGATTGCATTGCAATTAGCAGAGCTGGAACAGGACGAGCTCGCACCTTTCTAGATGTTTCAGGTAAGCAAGGATTCCAAAAACTTGTGTGTGTTTTAGCATCTCATTTGTCTATCATCATATCACCACATGTAAGTGTGAACTAAATAGTTATCCCCGCCAGAATTAATATCCACTAAGTAGGAGCTGATCGAGTTCACTCCGCTTCAACTCCACTACGCCGGAGAACTTAAAGCCCTGCAGTTCCAAACAGCAGATGATTTTATTGCTTTTTTGAGAACAAACTTCTCACTCCTGGAGTTATGATGTTGTGTGTTTCGTGTGACCCTGTTCATGCAAAACTGCAACCTGAGAGTAAAAGGGTTTGTATACTCCTGCAGCAGTATGTCACAGTGAGCTTGTCGCAGGTATGATGCAGATATTTTTGATTTAGGCCCAATTTTGAAGCGTGGTCTGCGATATTTTTTTCGGCGCCACAACGCAAGAGGGAAAATCACAAGCTAGCTACGATTGTGGGTGTGGTGGGTGGCGTGTTTCTCTTCATCTCTTCTCGTCATTCTACAACCCTCCGTGAATTGCTTGAATATGTGCTGTCCTCGTGGTGTGGAGAACAAGAGTCGTACAGATATGGGTACTTCCTCAGTTCTTCGCAGACTCGCTTTCCTAGCTGGTCTAACTTCACGAGTCGTTTTAGGCAATGGTGGTCATACAAACCAAAGAAAGCCGGTAAGATACCAAACAGGAAATATGCATAGTGTAGAGCACATGTAGATTTGACCAATTAGAGGCCTCCTGTCTGCGGGCACCTACAATTTTGGAGGCGGCATATCTGCGTTAACTGTGACACACACACAGACGACCTGGTTTCTGAGCATAAACCAGCCTTAATACTGCAGCTACAGAAACCATGGGGAGCCAAAAATGTGAAAAAAAACCAACAAAAAAACTATAACTTTTTTTTTTATTTGCTGCAGCAAAAAATGTTAATTATTTAATTTTAATTCGATTTTCTGCCCAGGCCTAACTGATGCTAAACCATAAAGGTCCGTAAAGGTCAATGTTTTTGAGGAGCTACCCTTTGCTTAAAGGAAAACTCAAAATCTTTTGGAATATGTCTTTACCACTATTTCTTTAATAAGTGTATCCTGCTGGAAGATGAAACTCCACCCCAGTTTTAGGCTATATTTATACAGCATATTTTTGCCTATGGAAAAAAAAAAAAAAAAAAAATGGATTGTTATTAGTGTTGCACCAATACCAGAATCGGGCAGGGCCCCCGTATTGGTATCGGGGAGTACCAAGAAATAGGACACCGATACCACTTTGGTATCATTTACTGGATTCATTTTGTTTTAGTCTTTTTCCTGCTTCACAAAGGTAGGCAGGAGCTCGACAAAGCCGCGATGGCGAATATTTTACATCCAAGTAGTATGCAGTTCTTCATATATACACACACACACATCAATTTCAAACAGATGGTATTGGTATGGTATCGGTATCAGCCAATACTGCACAGGCAGCTATCGGGTATCGGTATCACGGCCAAAAAATCAGCGCCAATTCGTTGTTGTGTGAGTTAAGCCCCTCCTCCCTAACTCCTCACTCTGAGAGGTAGATTCAGTCTCGTTCTCCATCTAACGGCCCTGAGATTGCAGAGTATACTCTGATCAGCGCTCATAGGTAATCTAGTCAGGAGGTATTTGTTTAGCTTTCTAACTGTCTTTACATCTAAGTGTCTCACCCTGGATCCAACTGCAGCATATCTGCTGAACAGCCTAAACATAAAAACGCTTCAAAACCTGCAATTTGTCAACAGCTGCTACCTCTTTATTATTCATATCAAATACTTGGATTGAAGCTAGACAGATTTTAGAAAAAATAAGTCCCAAGGGTGTTGTTTTATATTTTAATGCTAAGGCAACATATGAATACCTGATAATTTATGATTTATCCCAAAAAAAAAAAACAATTTTACCATCATTAAAACCTCTTATAAAGATGACTTGGAGGGTCTGACCCAGATCCTCTAGAATTTCATATATTTATTTGATTAATAATAATTAGCATAGTTAATTAACAAGTATCGAGGAATGTTCTATAGCCATGTTTCCATCCAATGTCATGCGAATTTTGAACAAAAGAAAATACAAATTCACATTACTTACCTTATAGAACCCCACAAATGAGAGAGACATTGTTATCGTCATATTTTTACCCCTGAATAAAACACCTGTCAGAGAGAATGTTCTTATAATGAGTATTTTTATATTCAATTTAAATAATTAGAAAATTGCTTTATTTTTTAGAGCCTCCACCTGCCATCACTGTTGAAAGAAATGTTACTGTCTCACCTGGCAGTCAAGCCGTTCTGACCTGCCACGTGGTTAGCACCGTTGTCTTCAACCTCACTTGGCTGCGAGGCGGCTATGACGCCCGCCTGGACCCACGAGTGAACATACTTGCCAACCTTTCACTCCAGGTGTCTGATGTGACCCCAGATAATTCAGGCTGGTATGAGTGCATTGCTGCAAATGAAGGAGGAACGACTGCAGATCGGATTTATCTCACAGTACAAGGTAATATTTGCTTGTTTGTTTCTGCAAAAGCTCATTAAATTTACAAAACACATTCTAATCTACACACCTTCCTATGTTTTGGGTTTCAAAATTGAAATCTTCAACTGCTCTCTACATTTGGGTAAATTCTGTTTTTTTAGTTATTTTTCTGAAGGCTGTAGTCATAATTAGATCAGCATCATTTATGTATGTTTCTGTCATGTAATGATGTCCATAAGGCTTCTGTGTGAACACAGCAGTGCAGAATTCCTTTTCTACCTAAAGTTCTTACTGAATCCCACTTCTCTGGGCTTATTGCTTTATTAGATAACACTTTCCAACGTATAGATAAGAAATGATTGTTCAGACAAGAGAAATGACACAGATATACATTCTGTAGGCCTACTGGGCTCAAGTCATCAGTGTTTTTTTTTTATTTTCTTTATTACAATTTGGTAGATTTCTTCTAAGGAAGTTTGAGGAAGATTGGCGTAAGTTGGAGTTGCAGATAGAGCTCCAAATCACTTGCCAGGATACTGAGCAGAAAAAGTTTTGGCAATGCTCAGGTACAGAATGATCTGCATTGCAGAATTCATTAAAGTATTTTACAATGGTTGGAGTAAATGATCGATCAATTTATCAAAAACCATTAATACCACATGGATCATTTAACAATTATAAAAGTTTTACAAGTACATGGATCATTTAAGAAGTAGAAAACAGACTGCAAAGTCAGTTCTATAATATGGTCCCGTGGGGAACGATGTTTTTCAACATTTCTATTACAACTTTGGAAATTTCTACTTGGGGAAAATGTGTCCCTTGAGGGTGCATGGCTGGACGATCTTTTATTTCCAGGTGGATCATCAAGAATGTTCGATGATGTTCCATCAATTACTCACTAAGTGCCAGGCCTCTTCAAAATTTACTCAGGAATGTTCATCATATAGATGTCAATAGCTGACACTACGAAACACTTAAAAAAGCATTATATAACTGTTAAGTTAGTAAATAAAGAGGTTTAGCCAACCGCAATCTATTTCCTAGCACAATCTGACAGTGTTATAAATCAGCATAATTTTTTAAATCAAATAAATATGTGACTAAAATTGAACCACTAGTAAATAAGTTAATAAGATTTTCCTCCACAGCTGCGCTTTACACATCTCTTCTATTTTTTAAACCTTAATAAACACAGTAAACACATACTAAACAGAAAATAAAATCTGAAAATATATTAACACTGC